AGACTTTATGTGATAAAACCATTGCAGCTGTTTACATACACACGGGGACATGTTAAAAATGAATACTGTGCACTTATTCAATTATTGGCTTTTTCAATAAGTTCTTTGTCAATGTCTTTCTCGAGCAGCTATAAATAAACCACCTTCCTTGAATCTCAATGTCATTGTCAATGCCACACTATAGAGAGGTAGAAGGACATTCATGGAATAAATACATCCTTCATGGAAGAAATGTAGTCAAAATACACTGAAAATACAAACATCTCACATCACTATATAATTAACCCATTTTAACCCAGATATTACTGCACTACAAGGTTTGTTTTGTAGCAAACACAAATGTCCTTAAAGCAGGGGCAAAGTGAAAAAATACAAACTTGCTGGTGGTGGAGGGGGGTAGAGATTTTTGTAAGAGACATGCAAAGACTGCCTAAAAATTATTTCTTTCTCCCCCAGCAATTTTTTATTTTCTGTGTACACTGTATGGCACACAGTGCAGCATACAAACACAGCCCATTCTCTAATATGCCGTGAACGGACCAGGTGTCAGGGAGGATGTAACTCTTGTGTGCATGCGCCAGAGGTACATAATTAGTGGGCACCAAATGCCTGAAGACGACTTCTGAGAACCTGAAAGTGTGGACTCCAGAGGGCAGTCGCAGGGGACAGTGCTGAGGACAGAAGGTTGATCCATTAGCACTGGAGAAGGGCACACTTGTAAGGTAAGAGTGCACTAATGTGCAAGTATTCTGTGCATACTTGCGCATTAGGGCAAAAACAAAAAGAATTACACACATTTCTTTTCAGGTCAAATGTATTGTGGTGTAATACTGCATTATGGCCACTAGATGGAGCTGAGCACCGAAAATAGGTAATTGAACTCAAGAAATAGAAGGTTATGGACTGCCCTAGTCAAAGTCCTGGTTTGAATCCCACTGAAATGTTTTGTAGGAATTTGAAACTAGCAGTTCATGCAAGGAAACTTACAAACATTTTGCAACTAAAGGAATTTTGCATGAAGGAGTGTTCAAATTTTCACTGTCAATGTCACAGACTGATGGACAGTTGTGTAAAATGCCTACAAGAAGTCATTTCTGCTAAAGGGGGCAATAACAGCTTCTGAGGCCAAGGGTGTACTTACTTACACCATTACATATATTGATATTTTGTTGAATAATTGATGAAAAAAAATATATATATATACATATATATATATATATATATATATATTAATATATATATATAGGCTAAATGTGTGTTTATTATTTTCTTAATCTCTGCAGTCTTGCTGGGGGTAGAATTATAAGGAGCATTCTTTGTATTGGTAAAAGGAGATAAGTGCATTTTATGACCTTGCCAAACTAATGAAGCAATATCCTAAACTGCCACTAGATGGCAGAGGGCTCCCTGTTTTGTTATGCTAAAGTATCATCAAAGGGACACAATCATTTATATGTAGTACAATAAGGACTAGTGCACATGAGTGTTTGGAATTGGAATCTGCATTTCATATTGGTTAGCAAAGAGACTTGAGCGCAGTGGTTAAAATATGAATTTAAATGTATAGATCAAAGATTTTATCATCCACTTTATGATGAATTCTGAATTCCATCGCAATTTTCTACATTGGTCTGTTCACTCATGTTCTATCTGCTTTTTATTTGTTGCATTGCTGTCAATGGGAATATGTTGAAAACTCAAGGCAAATGCATTCACAGTGTGTCTGTTATGCCTTTGAGGTCCCCCTGCCGCAATGACCTTGTAAAATCTAAATGAAATAAAATGTAAATTTGCTTGCACAAAAAAACAAAAAAAACAAATGCCCTTTAAAAGAATTATTCAAAGAACAGAAATCTTACAGTTTTCAGCCTGCCTGACTTTTGCAAATGTCTACCCTTGTCAGTTACTTTGATATGAGAGGCTCTAGGGTTACTGGCATTTCACATCCCCCCATTAAACATCCGTACTGTTCCCAAAGTTCCCATGTTTGATCTGCCGTCACAGGGTACCAGAAATGAAAGTACTTTTCCATTCACTGTGGCTTCGTATAGGAACGGCTGTGAGAATCTGTGAGAATTAGCCTGAGGCTTTATCAATTCGATTGCTTCATCAGGGAAAAATGGAGGTTGTGCCTCTGGCTCTTGAGACAGTAGCAAGTCCCTGACTAATCTTTCATTATTAATCCTATGTCTGTCTGTTACGGCAAAGTTTACATTGCAGAGTTATCTGTGAAGAAAATATACACCTTCTTCTCGTAGTAGGTAACGAGGAGAAAAACAAGGGGGCTAATTTGGGGCCTCGGCACACTTGTTGAGTTTGGGATTGCCAAAGCACAAGTGTGTATGTAGATGAAAGGTAGACTAGAAACCCATTTTCCAGTCAAGTCAAAGTTTCTTTGATGAACACATGAGTCTACAGTCGCTGATACCTTTCTAAGGGTCTATATTTTCCTGTGCTTGATGTGCATTTGGAATGCATATCAATCATGGGTCAGCAAAACCCCATTGATGTCAAAGGAGCAGTACACATGGCAGTTCCGATGCCGTGTCTGACCTGCAATGTGAAGCCTTTGTGCTGCATTTCTTTGGACACATCATGTTCTATTGCGGTTTGTTTTATCTGCAGGCAAAGTAATACATTATTGGCAGGCATTCTTGCCCAAAGCCACTGCATGTGTTTAAATGAAAAATGAAGAAAACCCATCGACATGATCCACTAACAACTAAACACAGCGTAGAAGCAGCATATGGGGCGAATTTAGCAGTGTCAATAAGCACAGACACCGAGGGACATTTCCCAACAAATGTGCATAGAAATAAGATGAAAATCAAGTTGGTTCTCATTTAGCAAAGTCTATGTGACTGTTTCTCTATGTATTTGTGACCTTGGTGCCTAGAATCCTGGCAGACAAATTTACAATGGTCTGAGACAGATTAAGATAGGACAGATTTCCACTGCAGACAGATGCACAATTAAAATGTGGTCAGGGGTTGGTTTTATTCTGTCGCAGTGCTACTTTAGAGCAGCAGAGGGAGACATTTTTGAGTAAAGCTGACCTCCTATAAAAAGAAATGTCTCATAGCCTGACCTCATGCTTCTATATAGTCTGTCTCATAATCTGCCTTACTGCTTCTATATAGCAGTGTTTGCTCTGAGACAGAACTGATCATTGATAATTGTCCCCCACTGTATTTTTAGGGATCAACCATCTGCCTCGAAGACATGTTCATATGATGTGTTTAGCAGGACAGAGGCATTCAGATGGCCCCATTTGCAGAAAATGGCAATGAGCAGGGACCTTACACGAAGCAAAGGAAATACGAGTCCATGATGGCTATGTCCTGCAGGAAAACCAAAGCCCATACAATTTCTAGTTTAAGAAAATTCAATTTAAAACTTGATTGGCTACTACAGATGTTTCCACTGTTTATGGTGTGGGCATCTAACTGATTGATGCCCTATTGGGGGGCTGTTACTAGAAGTTAAAGGGTCAGTCCATCCCTAAGCAATGTCGCAGGTATAGGTAGAATGTGGTGGCTTCCTATGTCTTTCAAGGTCTCCAGAACAAAGGTTACCCCAAAGACAAAAACAATGGTATTTCTGGGTGTTCCGACATTCCTTGTTGCATTGTATTTAATAAACATCCAACAGAAAGAACGGGGACCTTGTCCATTATTGTCACGGTGGGTCTGGGAACACAATCTCAACACAGAGGTCCTATGAGACTATAACGAATCATCGGGTGATTGATCTAACCAATAAAAAGTTAAACAACAGATACGGGTGGAATGACCCTTACTACAAATAAGTTATAACCTTCATCCTCATCAATGGGCTTTCTTTGTGTTATTTTCAGCATCTAACTAGATTAACTGTTGCATTCCACATCTAGGTTGTATCTATCTTCAGAAGGTTGCAATGGAAAGCAATAAAACGTGAAGTTATACTGGCAATTATCTTGATTGCAGTAATTATAGCAAAGATAACCTTTGGGAAAAGCAAACATTATGTCATTATTAAAGACACGGCTAATTGTTTTAGCAGGTTTTATTTGTGTAAGAGCGTATTAGAAAATATGGGCTGAAATAGCTTCTGGATTATATTTATTCCAGTGAAATGTCAGATGGAACATTTATATGATAGCACAGCTGGTTCCGAGTTTGTCACTGGTGGGCGGGCAATGCAGGTTAGAGTTTTGCCAGATTTTGATTGATTTATTAATTATGAATTATTTAAGAACAATGTTATTTTTAGCACAGCTTACTCCATGTATTTATCCAGGTAACTCAAGCAAGTTTGTAAACATAAGCCTTTACTATTTTCCTTGGTAGTTCTGCTTGAAGTGTTGTCTTCAAGTTCTAACGGTTCTGTCACTTCCAATTTCCTTCTATTGCTAGATAAAGCAATTTGCAGATATTTTCATTTATATCAGAAAAATCGTCGACAGCATTCCTTTACATTTGCATGCAGTAAAGCTCACATCTAGAAAGTTGCCTGCACATTGAAAAGGAAGCGAAGATAGCTTCTTTTATCAGCCTACCTGTCCTCACCTTTCCTTTTGGACATGTCCTTGTGTAAACACTCTAAAGACCTGTGCTGTATAAAAATGATAATTTACATTGATAAGTTATAAGCAGCTGTATATGGTTCAACCTGGGTATGTTCTCTACTTCCAACAGACAGCAGTACACCATGTTAACTAAGGAACATCCCAATCTTCTTACCACTTCTGGACCAATCATTGTGATCCCTGTTTGGATCCCAGGTGGCATTTTCCCCTTTTCTTGTTGCGTCTTATATATCTTCCTCTCAGTCATTGATAACGCAATTAATATATGCCCATACGATAACAGTTTTTGTTTGTTTTGGTCAAGTTTGGTGCAACCGGCGCTAAATGTATTACTCTAACAGCTATGTACTGTAATTATAACAATGATTTTTTTATGGTGTTATTTCTTTACAAAGAGCAGTGTCAAAATGGAAAATAGTGTGGCACTTACGTTGGTTTAGAAGCTTCTGCTTGATCAGTCTGTAGCTTTTCACCGCCTTCAACTTCCATTGTACAATACACAATACGGTTTGGGGCTAGAGACTTTAACCCTTGGACCTCCATTATTACAACCTGTAAATACGATAGAATGTGTCAGTCACTTAAGTATATGATGACAATATATACGTATATACAGTATATATATATATACCGTGTCTGGTATATACTGCAACCAGGGCCTGTGCATCTGTCCCTGTACACATATATACATTAAGAAAGATCAGTAAAGCCAATGCATTTGTCAGCCTGTCACTAATTTTTAATAGGCTGCTAGTTGCAGCTGCACGCAACATATGTGACTTCCGGGCACATTAAAAGAGGACCTTCTGCACACCCTACGGCCACTGTGTCCCTGGGAATGAGACATTTAAGATTCACATTTTGTCTTGAATTGCTCATTGAAAATAGCGGTGCACTTCCTGTCCTGTACTTAAGTCCAATAACGGTATATCTGCATTGTGAGTTCATATAAGACACTGCTGCTCATGAGATTTGGAGTAAGATTTGGAGACGTCCCTGCTATCTGGCTCAATGCTTTCCGCGGGTAAAGAGGAAGCTGAGGACCTGCTGTGCAAGTATATCCTTGCTTTTGCTTCATTCATTATGTGACTCTGTGCTTTCTGCACCTCCCCTGCTGCTTCTTGATCATTACTGCACTAGTTATCAGATCACAATGCAGCAGCTGTAATATGAGGAAGTGAAGCCCTACCTCTACCAAAATGCTCACCTCCTGCAGACCTAGACATGGTAAAAATGGGGGAAATTATTATCCGCAGAGAGCCTGTAGGCAATAATGGGGACTAGTCATTTGACTTTTGCTTGCCTTTTTTCAGCAAACCTTCCACAGTTTAATGTATATACCCATATACAGGCCAGTTTTGAGCCACATTAGGTGGTGTTAGACACAGTTTCCAATAGACTCCTGCAGTCTACTTAGATATCAGTTGAGGAGAACATGGAGAATTGCTGGATACCCTCCTTCTATGATTTCAGATGGCCTTCATGTGATTTTCTCTTTGTCCTCTGATGGCTTGGGTGTCTAGAATGGGTGTCAAATGTCCAGATATGTACACTTAAGTCATAGATATACGTGGCCATATACTTCAGATAAGGAGGTCCACTACCAAACCTTAGTCGAGTAGCCCTATTTCAATGTGTACAGTTGGCTATGACAAACCTCTGAATTTAAAATATTTTTTCCGCCTTTGCCATCAAGTCCTCATATTGGATTTTACGCAAAATAATTGAAGCTTACTCTGACAAAATATAATTAGTACAAATACAATGAAAACAATGAAAGA